ATGCGGTTTGATAAATATTTACGATTATTATTTTTGATGTTCCCATAGAGCCAAAATTTAAAGTAAATTTTACAAAGTTCTTGTAGTATTGGCCATACTTTTTTCTTAGTGAATGTAAGGTTTAACGCAAAATTCAACTTTTTGTTGAAAAATCATAACCTTACAAAATTCAACTATTTTGTTAAAAATCAATCAATTAAACAAAAAAAATTTAATGTGATGAGAAATGCAATGTTTGTAATTTGTATTTTAAAAGTTTAAAAAAAATTAAGATGTTTTAGAATTCTGCTGTAACAAAAATAACTAAATCTCATTAAGGATTGACTTAATTTTTTTTAAAAATTAAATAGTTTATGAACAAAATGGATTTTTTTTTAAAAAATGTTTTGAAAACTCGTATTAAAAACAAACGAGCGCAAGAATTTATAATGCCTTGTACGTGGCAATTTTTGAATTATTTTACAAAATAAAGCATTAACACAATTTTAAAAAAAACTTATTTAAAAATAATAAAGTTGAAGAAATTAATAGTGTCAAGAAATTAAAAAAAGAACCATTTGTATTTGCACAGTGAAGAACTACAAAGCGTCAAAAATATATTACTGCTGCGAAAAAAAATTAAATCTACTCCTAAATTTAAAAGGTATGTTGATCATTTATAAAAAACTAAATTCAAAAGCTATTTATAAATTATTCCATTGTTTTAATTTACTGTAAATTGCTTAATGACAAATAAGTGTTAATATTAATGCTTTCTTTTAAACTTACGAATATTTTCTACTGATTTAAATACAAATATATTCCTTTAAGAAATAGACAAAATATAATATTCATATTTAACGTAACTGCTTGAGCATTATATTTGAGTTATAAAAAATAGTATTATAGCTAAAATCATTTCCTCTTTATTACTTGTTTAATGTTGAAGAAACAAGAACTCTATAATAACTCTTTGTTATAACTCCATTACAACTCTTTATTACTCGTTTAATGTAGAAGATACAAGAAATAATAAAATTTGAATTTTAGAGTAGCTTAATCTAAGTTGTCCCAGATAGTCCGTATTGAAAGAGCGTTCTTAATTTTTTTTCTGGTAAAAATTTCTGCCAAAATTACTGTACTGTTTAAGAAAGACATTTCTGGTTTTAAAAAAACATAATTCTAGTATTAAAAACTAAACTATACGGTATTCAAATCATTTATTGGGTAGTTCTTCCTAGTTTTCATAATTACAGTTCACCTATTATAAAACTATATTTTACCGTTAAGTTTACAAAAGCTTTTGCCAAAAAGCTTTCGTAAATATTACCGAGTTTTTTGATGTTCCCATGGAGCCAGACACGCGGTAAATTTTACCATATTCTGGTAGTTTCGACCATATTTTATTTCACAGTACAATAGAAGTATCTAAAATAGTTACTGCGACAATAGGCTCGTTACGGCTACTCTTATTTCGATGGAATTTCACTTGAACTTTCTGTGTAGCTCTAAATGCACTCCATGTCGCCATTTTTACTAATTATTTTAAATAAGTCTATTTTGCACATGTAAACCGGTGGTTAAACAAAAGAAGTTAAAAGAAAATAAGTTATAAAAAATATTAAGGAAGGTGGTTAAAAGTACCGGTGAATACAACACGGTACCAGGGATTTCTTAAGATTCATTAAACACTTTTAAATATTATGAAATATTAATGAACTAAATTTTCTAGTTTGACAAAGTATTTTTGAAATGCGTCTAATACTTAAATTTGTTTCTCTAAAGAATAAAGCTGTTTTCGCGCGTAGTATTTTTGTCGTAAAATGTTTCATTAACAAACGTGACGCTCTTTTTCTGGTAAAATAAAATTATAATCCATAATCCGTAAAATTATTAATCGTAATCCCTAAAATTATATAATATGTACTGTCAAAGCTATATTTATTCCCAAATTAATACGTAATATTCCTTGATAAATAATTTATCTCTGAATTAATGAGAGGGTTATTATTAAAACTTAATAACAGGGACTGAAATTATTAATGACTACATATTTTGACTGCCATGACTGGTTTATAATTATGTCTTCAAACAAGTCTTAGTCACTTGAAGCAGTAAGTGACAGTTGAAATAAGCCATTTACGAAAAATGTGTTTACATTAAATACGAGGTGGTCTTATACAAAGCATATTCAACTATTATCAACTAATATTTGAAAAAATATTTAAAAATACTTTTAATAAAATCAGAAAAAGAAATTTATACACCATAGTATGGCAGTTTTCGTCTATAATTCTGAAAGAATTATTGAAAACAAAATGTTTACAAAATAAGAGAATAAAAATCAAATACGTTAACACTTTGGATCAAAAACATTATTGCTTTTGAACAAAAACATTAATACTTTAGATCAAAAACATTAATATAACATTATTAACTTGATTAATGCCACATTAATTTATTTGATTACCAATATTATCAAATGCATTAATTAGTATTTAAATATTTATACAGATTAGAGTCTATAACTTGTTATATAAACTAGTTTTAGGTTTTAATAAAGTCAGTATCCTCATTTTGCGCCGCAATGAAACTTCTAATTCCTTAACATAGGTTTTTCACTTGCTTCAAATAGAGAAAGAAAAAGGTTGTGCCTGAGACTAATTTTAAACAAAAATATTAAAAAAAAATAGTAAACATTTGAAAAATAAACTTTTTATTTTTTAATGCCGAAAATAGTAATTTAAATAAACTGGAAAATTCGTAGGGAAAAACATTATACATTTGTAAATCAATATAATTTTTTGGACGAATTCTTTCGTACATTTCAGAGAAAAATATTTTCCATATTAATATAATGTAAGTAATTATTTACACAAAAATATTTTGAAGTCAAGAAAATTAGTCCAAGGTACAGTATGATGTACTTTGGACCATCAAATGTTGCACCTTAGACCATTGCATGTTAATCTTTGGGTAACACCCATTTTGAATTATTTTCAACTTTTTAGTTAATTAAATTTTGTTGTTAATTTAATAACTTATTTTTACTTGTTAACTGTGAAAGTTTAATAATAGATTTTATTTAAGAAACCAAAGCCATTAAAAAAAATTTTAATACTAATTTATTATTTTTAATACTATTTTATTTTTTAAAAATTTTTAATACTTTTTTCAAGCTATTTTGAGTAAAGTATATATGGCATCAATACTTTGTTTTAAAAAAAAGGTAGTTTTTAAAAAAAGGTGACTAAATATAATGGCATTCACACTAGCAAGTTTAAAGGACGTATTTTTATACAGTACGTACAGCAATCTTAACAATTTTCTTACAACAAGAATTAAAACAGAATAATTTTTTAAAAGAGTTTGCTAGCTATTTGTTGTTGGATATTTGCTATTGGAACTTCTACTGCTTTTTAACATTATTTTGGACAACACAAAATAAAATATCTTAAAATTATGTATTTAGATTTTCATGGAATTTGATACTTGATCACGATACTAAACCACGAATTTAGTTTTTTTTTAAGGAATTTTTTTCTTAGAATTTTTTGATATATGAACGTGCACTGTAAAAATATCATTCGCTAAACTTTATAAAATAAAATTTGTGTATGCTAATTTTTCAGAATTGAAACGTATAAATACATTATCTTTGGCAATTATATATTGTTTAATACATTCCAGGAAGGCTCAGATAAAAATTGACCCTAATACTCAAAAAACTAACTGTAAAACTTAGTAAACTTTTTCTATAATTGTAAAACTTTGTAGGATCTCCATTTTAAAAATATCATAACTAATGTTAACATTATTTAAGAAATAAAAATATTATTTTTTAAATTATTCTTATAATGATGTATTTTTATAACAAAATATTTTCAATTCCAAATAAAAGTGCTTTTAATGTACCAAAAGTACAAAATTTCAGAATTTTTACCTTCGGGCAAAGTTGAAGAGTTAAAGAAAGCCTATTTACCCTTTTCTTGTCTTTTATTTCTTCAATTCACTTAAAATGGATTCGAAACGGATTGTCAATTGAAAATTAATTAAATTAAAATTAATAACTCATAATTAAAATTTAAGTATTGCAGGAAACAACTCTGCATAATATTGCTTGTTTTTTTAAGTACGAAATAAAATTGAGATTGTTGAAGCAAATAACTGACAGTGATTCTTAGGAATATCAATGTTTTTCTAAACAGAAGTTACGCAAGAGTTTCATTGTCAAAATTGGCTTCAAAAATACGGAGGCACAGGGTATCGCCTTAAACCCGCAATTCAAATTCTCTTATAAAAAAGAGGTACCTTCGAATTTTTCGAAGACAAATCAAATAAATTTTCTTACATATATTGCTAATGATGTTTCAAGTTCAACCACTAATGTATAAAATATGTTATGGTATATAATGTATTTATATATGCAATAAGTGCTTCTTCAACAAAGTTTTATTTAAAATTCGAAGGACATCTACAGTTTTTTCTTTAAAATTATTAAAACTGTTAGTAAAAATAAATATTTTCTAAAATGTTTAAAAACTACATAATATTGTTAGTTAAAATAATGATATTCAAAATCAAAATAACTTTGTGCATACTTAACTTCAAAGCGGTAGCTAGAAATTGATTTTCATCAAATTTAAACGTAATTTTATCAATACGTTTTCGTTAGGTGGGTAGCATTTCTGTATGAATTAAGAAAATTATAAATGTCTGTTATAAGAACAACAAAAAATAGCATTTGATAAAGTGAAAAGAGCAGCTGTTTCAATTACCGATGAATGATTATGTTAACGGAAAATAAAAAATGATTTATTCCATGAATTCCACTCGGTCTTGACAAGTTGCGAGCAAATAAATTGCTGGACAAGCATCTAATCGAGTATTTTCGATTTTTTTTCCCTTCGCGGTCTCGTAAGACGTTGGATCAATCAAATCATTAGAATATTATTTACGATGCGCCAAAGTCTAACTATCAATCTGAACATTTCTCTAATTACTTATATAAAATTGCCTACCTCTTCAATTCCTTGAAGGTTACCCCAAAGACAAATCCACCCGGTGGACATAATGACTGGAAACACAGAACTTTTCGGTTAGTTTTCGATTTCAATCCACTCTAAACAATTCATACTCTTTCACTATTTTGAGATGAAACCATAAATTGTTTTGAGTCAGACTCCAAAAAATAATTATTTCGTAACTTTTCTCCCAGGTGTCTTGTTTACGAAGTAGGCGTGGCAAATCTTACGTTTCTTAATCACCAAAGGGCTTCCTTTTTGAAACAAACCATGTTGTAACACCTACGGGGCTTGATGATGGCAACAAATAGTTGAATGTTGGATTTGGGATTTTGCATATTACTGTCATATGACATATCCTACGCTTTGGGTTTCGGGTCCTTCCTTGGTCTCTGCCCACTGAGTTACCTCGAACCTTTGCACAGTCATTCGTAGGAGTCCTTAAATATGTGGATGGCCTCGCTAAAGAAAACAAATTGATTTATATGCCGATGTATGCATGTACCGCAAAGAATAGACTTCCTCAACAACTAGTTGACTGTGTTACGTGTCGCCGTTTAGCATAAGTTTACTTTATATTGGTGTAATACATAAAGGATATAAATATTATTGAACTTGTTTTTTTTTTCAGTTTAAAGCAAAAAGGGTAATATAAACATTAATCTAAATCATTTCAATTTGATAGGAAAAAATTTCTTAGTGTTAAGTATAGGGTTAAGTTTAGATGTAATTTAATTTTGTTACGAAGCTAGCCGATCGTTTACATTAGTGAGTGAAATTAATGACCACGTGCAAGATTCCAGCGTCAAAAATGAGCTCACACACACTGTAAAAAAATCCAGACCAAATTACGGTATAAAGTTCCGGTACTTCAGGTGCATCATAAATAAAATCCATTTTACCGTGGAAACCATTTTTATGGCAAAATACTATACCGTAATTTTCACAGTTATATTTATATAACGATAGTGATTTAGTGATTTTACGGTAATTATTACACTGTAAAAATTACAGTATATCAGATTTTTTGCTCCGTAACATGTTTCGGAAAATGGAATTTATTTCAAAAAGTACCGGCAACATGAGTGCCGGTACTTTTTGCGGGTACTAAAAAATTCCAATGATTAAACATATAATGAGAGAATGAGTATGATGTGAAGACTTACCATTTCTTTGACGATAAAACTTTTAAACGTAATACAGGTTCTTAACTGTTATTTAATGCATCTTTTCCAAGCTCTATTATTTTTCATTACTTTCAAAATTTCTTTAGCTGTTCTTAAAAATCCAACCCCTTAAAATTTAAAAACCAATCACTTTAGTCTAAGAGTAAGTACCCAATCTAGGGCTAAATTATTTCCACCAATCTCAAATATCAAAAAGGAAATCAATGACCCACCTTCCTCCGTTTAAAAACAACTGACAAAAAGACATCAGAAACCCCTTAATTGGACTTTACACACAGTCGAGAAATACGGACAAGAAATATTAAAGGGATCAATAATTCCTCCCCCTATCAGGTGTTCACCAAAAACAGGGTAAGACGGGAAATCTTTCGAATCTTACAAACCTCTATTTTTAGTATTGTAAACCCATTAAATTCCATTAGAATAATAATTCAATTAATTTAATTAAATTAGAATTTTAATCAAGCTACAATACAATAAAAGAGGATATCGTAACACGTATACAAAATTTTTCCATTAAATAGTTTAATGGCTCTATGGGGATGCATCAATTTAAATGCGCATTAACATTTCGGCTTCAGGCTTGAAAGAGCGCATATTAAAAAGCTTATTTTATAATGAAAAAGTCAAATCTATTTGAGTAAAAATTGAAGTCATGAGCAGCGCACAAATATTTTGGGCTTGAAAGAGAGAGGATTTAAATATAATGCTACATAAATATTTCGTAATGATACTGTGATAGTAAACAAATAAAGTCGTGTAAAGAAAATTATTTTGAAATAAAAATATTTTTTAATTCTGATTTAATGACATTCGTTTGGGCTATTTTAATTTAACTGTAATTCCTTTTTTCCAAATGACATCAAAGTTTAGAAAAGTTATCAAATTTATATTTTGCTCCAATTTTTTTTATAGTTCAAAAATGCAATAATCATATAAAAAGTAAATTGAGTACATTAAAAGTAATTTGTTTATATTTTAATCAACTTCGAAATTATTTGATAGTATCCTTTAAATCTTGAAAGGCTAAGTTGCGTTTATTTACGCAGGTCATAATACTTAATGTAAATACTCTTATAATACTCCGAATCAAAATGTGAAATTTTAATATCAAAATGTGCTTTTTGAACTTTCATTATGAAAGAAAAATGTTATCGAAAATCAGCTAATCTTTGTTTTAGGTCATTTCAAATATTAAATTAGGATTAAATTAACCCGATAATAATAAAATCGAACGATATACGCACTAACTTCGATTTGTCAGAATAAAAAAGAACAATAAAAAAATATTTAATTTGTTAGTAGTTAATAAATTTAAAATTTCAAAAGTTGATTTTGATTGACACAAATCTTATTTAAAAATAAACATTTATCATATATTTCCAAATTTTATTTAGCTATTTTTATCTATTATTATTTTTTCTCCAATCATTAAATACTTGTTTGCAGCCCCCAATCGAGAACATACCATAAACGGTGATAGAGTTCTATTTAAGTGATTATAAATTCACTAAGAATTTTAAAAAAAAGTATGTAGTTCCAGTAATTTTCTAAAAAATGCTTTGGTTAGTGCAAATAGTAAGAAAGACAAATAGATTAATCAGTTGATCAGTAAGCTGTTATTTGAAGACAAATTGCGGTCATTTATTCCTTCAACAATTGCAACATCAGAAGCATCAATGTAATACAAGTTTTAATCGCGCTTCTTCAATTACGTACGTGATCTCTGCAGTTCATTTTCGGATTTGTCCTGCATGAGTGAACATAACGTTATCTTTGTTGTAAGTGGTCGTAAATTAATTTTGCACGGCATTGTCGTGTGCTGTACGTAACTCTTCCTGTATATATTATTTCCGTTATTATATTAGAATAAATCTTCAACACAAAAAAAAACGTATCATTTTACTCAATAAGTTCATTAACATAAAATCAAATTCAAAGCAACATGAAGAATGTAATATGTTATTTTTAGTGCAATTTTTAATATATTTTACTGTCCACCTATACCTACACTGTAAAAAATTCCGGATCAAATTATGACGTAACATACCGGCACCGTCCGTAAAACCCATTTTACTGTGAAATCCATTTTTAGAGTAAAATATTATGTCGTTATTTTTATTATTATATTTATTTAATTAGTTCAGGAATGTTTAACTGATAAATTTAATAACTGTGCTTTTCTATATTTTTAATTGTAGTATCACATTTTGACTTTGTTAAAGGGATAACTGATGTTTTAATTATCTGAAATAACAACAAACAATCAAACATTGTAAAATCCATTTTTAACAAAACATGTAATAGAACAAAAATCTGATATACCGTAATGTTTACAGAAATATTTGTAAAATCACGTAAAAACTCTAAATAAATAAATATTAATGTAAAAATGACGCTAAAAATGGATTTCACGGTAAAATGGATTTTATGGATTATGCACCTTAAGTGCAAGTATTTTAAACCGTAATTTGAATCGGAAATTTTTTCAGAGTAGTTTTTTAATCTGCTTTTATTTTAAACTAGGATAAAAATTTTAGTTTTTAGAACTATAAATACGGAAAAAAAATCACTCAAATTCGGAAAAACATGATTTGGAAAAATTACTAAATCTGATCAAGTAAAACAAATTTTACGTCGAACTGAAGCATCATAAATTAAGATAAAAATTTTAAAAAGAAAATTTGAATTAATTCTATTAGTAATCTCCGAACTGTCTTAATCTTAGAAAAACTATTTTTTCAAAGTATAAATAGTATTTAAATCTACCAGGAAGCTTCGCCCGCTGCTCGCTTCAGTCGCAACTCGCGTTCACCTCCTACTCAGGTGACCCAGGTTTTAATCGCAGTGGTGACTGGACGATACGAATTCTGCCACTGGCTCGCACCGACCACAGTGCCGACATAAAATATTCTTAGTTGTAAACGAATCATGGATTAGAGTCCCTTTTCCCGTAGACTAACCTTGGGAGGTTTTCGCGATTTTTCTCTTCATAAAACGCGAATGCGAGTTAACTCCATCAAAAAGTCTTCCACGAAGGCAAATTTCTCCCAATACAGGATTCAGGAGTTCACTTGTCTTCTGGATAGGGATCAAAATTACAAGGTCACGCAGTTAAACGTTGGAAGTCGTTAACTCAAAAATTGGGTCGGCTGTTCAACGACGGTTATAAAATAAAAAATATAAGTTTAACATAATAAGAAAAGCAAAATAAGTCAGGTATAACTTAAGCATGAATTGAATGCAAGTTGAATCTAAGTTATATAGTTTAAGTTTAGTGAAATAGGCTAAAGTACAAGTAAAAGTAACAATTTTTAAATAGACGCCCTCCCATAAGAGAGAGTGACTCATCCATTTATGCACTAAAACAACAACAACTATTTAAAAAAAAGAAAATGAAACCAACTAAAATTAAACTCATGATGCAAAGGCCAAGTCATCGAAACCTGTTTTCCCACACCGATAGGTGTTGGATTAACCATCTCTGATGAGGAATATAAAAAAGAAATTCCGACCTGTTTCCCCTTCAACAATATGCAAGAATGATTACAGCACGACAGAGAAGGTGTAACACTGGATTTGGGTTGAAACGAAGGCGAAAAAGAGAACAAAAATATTCGAAAACGACGATACCCACACAACGATGCTAATTTAACAGCTTTCCTGATTGACGCAGCTATTGTCTTCTACTGAAATATCAACCCTTCTTCTAAGCTGTTCCTTCTGCTCTATATTTTCCAAAATAAAATGAAATGTTTAAAATTAAAATCAATTGCCGCCCACTGTTTGAGTGCAAAATTATTTTCAGAGCAAGTAACTTTTGATGAAGTATTTATTGTATTATTTATCATGAATCCAATATATTCTCAATAGGTAATTCAAGCTTAATACTCTGATAGGATCTGCAAAGTGTTGTTTTCAGTTTAAATAAACAGGTCAGGAAAAAATGAAGATAATGAGCCCGCTATTGCTTTGCTACTAAAGTCAGGAAGATATTTAAACACTAAACGTATCCTTAAATTCTTAAAGAAAATTGTTTTTATCGTTTTTGTACAAGACATCGAATGTTACAAAGGCCTCTCCCTGGTTTGCCTGATTTATGGTTCGTTTCAACGATAAAATAAATTTCATAGTTTACTGATTAGTACCAAAAGGGTTAACACTTTAATAATTATTAAGATGTAGTTTACTATGAAATTAAAAATTGAGTGTTAGAAGATTTGCTTGTAAAGTGTGTTTCAATTTGATTTTAAGATAGAAATTTTGTACTTAAATTTTCAGTTATATTTTTACTTTCGGATATTTTAATAAAAATTACTTTCG